ACTCCAATGAATTTTAAACTCCCACTGGTAGAAGTGTACCCTTCGCTTTGGCTAACAAGGTTCTGACGAACAGTGGTTTGATTAAAACCATGGTGATGGAAGGCATACATGACTTAATATACTTAAGTTGAGGGTTTTTATTTAATGTCTCACCAGATTATTATCTTTGTTAGAATGTCATTGTTTGGCATGTTATTGAACATTAAACTTTAGCATGCATTCTAAACAAAATAAAACATGTCGGTACATGGCCCACTAAAGCCGATTTCCTCGAGCCTAGAGGAATCGGTGGGTCAACATAGGGGTTTAAAAGTAAATCTTAGGTCTTCAAGTTATTCCTTTTCATAGCTCCTTCGTTTCTTCTTCACGATCATTACAAAGTATTTTTTTTTTTATAATAAAAAATCTTATTCTAATTTACATCGATAAAATAGAAACCTTGCGTTACATAAGAGGGGAGTGAGATGAGAAGAAGAAGTACATGAAGATATAAGAGAGAGAGAGAGAGAGAGAGAGGCAGGACACGCGGGTCCTATTTCTTTATAAAATTACAAGTAAACCCAAAATTACAAAAACATACCAAAGGTCTAAGGCTCATGTACCGGGCACCATGCAATTTCAAACAAGAACATTGCATACATCCAAAATTAACATTTTGAATTTGAGTGGGTGGAATTATTAAATTACCCTTCTTATATGTGTAGAATTATTATTGGCTTTATAGGGTCAAAAACTATAATTTGGCCCCCTGTGCGAAAAACAGAAAAGCAAAACGGAACAGTAGCTTTCTCGCCACAGTGAAGAAATTTCTTCACCGTGGCAAAGTTCATACACATATGGTTGCTGCGGCGAAGTTTTATTTCGCTGCAATAAACACCATAAACTTCCATAAAACACAAAACGTTCCAGAGAGATTTATGTCGCAGTTAAGTTTTATTTCGCCGCCGCTAGATCTACTTTTCCCGCAGTTCGCTGCGGCGAAGGTTTATTTCGCCGTGGCCAGATTCACTTTTTGCATCTCACCGCGGCAAAGTGTTATTTCGCACGGCTAACACTGCAAAACAATGAATCGCACAGTAACCTTTTTTGCAGTTTTTTCACATATCGATATGGATGCAAATCAAATCGAATGCATAAGCATTCGACCAAGACATCAACCAACCAATAAGTCATTCATCAACACATCATTAGTCAATTGATCAATTAAACCAATCAATACACAAAATCCATCAGATTCATGAAAACATATTATGCAAAAAATATTATCAAACAAATCATGTTATCAAACAGAATGATTAAACAAAATAATCTGATACCCAAGGCTCTGATACCACTGTTAGCATGTGATCGGATTTACGCAGTGGAAAAACACAGTTTTAAAACAAATAAAACCGATCATATGCTTTAATCCCAAGTCTGGGTACAGATTATAATGTTTACAAGTTTTGCATTACAACAATATGATAAATCCATTCAAGGATTTCGAATGCTTACACATGTTTGGAGGCTCCTCCGAATATCTCTGATTATGCTCACAAATACTGTTCATAGCATTGTTCATCGGCTACAATTCACCAAACACTGTTCACGTGATTCTTCGCTAATTGATCCAAAGTAGGATCGCACTTATGATAATCCACACTAAGACAGTCCGCAGAACCCTTGATTATTTTGCTAGAACAATCAAGGGCTTCAAGAATCAAGAAAGAAGAACAAGAAAAATATTCTTCTTCACTCAATAGTGTAACGTGAGAGAAAGAGACAGAGATGGGGTGGCCAGGGTTTCTTATTATTGAATAATTCTTGTTTCTTTTAATTTTTAGTTGCACTTATATAGTGCAACAATTAAAACCCTATTCCACTTAGGAATAGACATGGGCTCCAACCCTAATTCACCCTTGCAACCAAACACACCGTTTATGGTATTTTAATTAATTAATTATTATTATAATTAAAATCAATTAATATATATTAACATTTAATTAATAATAATAATTCATTTAAATATATACATAGATATATTTAAATATTATCTCACTAATTTAATTTTGATATTAAAATTAAATACAGGCAACAACCTCAGCAAATTTAATTGCACTGTGAGATTACCAAAATACTCTTTCGTCTTGAAAGATGAAAATACCCTTCTCACAAATTGATTCTTAAATTATCTTCTAAGTGCGTGACCCGTAGGCTCCTCATCATATCGGTAGTATATAGTATCATGACTAACACCAATTAATTGTCTCACTACACATAGACCAAGATTGGCCCCTAGCAAGGCATCATGGTCACCCAATAGATTCGGATTCAGCGAACCCGCAGCCTATCAACGGTATGGTTACTGTGTAATCAAATCATTTCATCAACCGTTATCTCAGCGAGACTGAAGTACAAAAATAGTGTCAACCTCAGATATCCTCGACATGTTTGTATGTTACTGGACCAATGACAATAATATTAAATTGGATTGAGCATCAACTCAATCCCACTGTTGTCATAGATTTAGTGTCATTGTCATTTATTGAATTACCCAGTGAGAAAACTTCTCCGTACCTAGGAGTGATGAATCATTTGTCTATCCACCATAGTCTCGATACTCTTCTCAATGTAGTCAATCACTACTGTATTGATAGCTCTGAATAGAACTACGTTGGGCTAGTGTCAAACTACACCAATTGGTGCACAAGGCGCTCCAGTGATCTCAAGTCTAAGGATCACATGCACCACCATCCGTTAGAGGATTTATTCCATAGACACTAGGGTTACCATCCATATGGAATCCTCTGGTAGGTATGTCCAGTGAACTTGCCTCTAGCCAACACCCATTTATTGCACCAGGTTATTGGCAAACAACCTTGACAAGTGAGATCAGTCACTGCCTTTCGACAGGATCGTTCAACGCAATGATAGCCTTACCGTATTATCTGTGTCCTTGGTCAGAATAATACTATGGCTACGGACGTTTCTAGAATGACCACCATATGTGATTATAGGGTTCTCACTATCAAGATTTGAAACACTTGATACCCTCGTCACGATTCTACCATCCTAATGACATATATCAATGCATATAATATGATTTACGTGATATAGTAGCACTATGGCTTTTATTGATAAATAAACATTTATTATAGAATCAATCTTACAATAATTGATTGGCTCTAGGGCACCTACTCTAACAAAGTGCAGGACGGACGATTTCAAAGCAGACTCCCCATTCATTGGATAGAGAAGATCACCAAGATTTCGTGATCCGCTGCCGAACTTATTCCAATTCCAAGATCTCGGATCGAATCGGTATATCAATATTACTAAAAATTTTATTTAATAAAAGTAAGAATGGGTCAATTGGGTGCTAGTTACAACTTGGAAGTCTAAGGTCCCGAATTCAGATATTGACAAATTGCCCTTCTTCGTTCAAAGTGACTCAAAGACATACTATTACAAATTTGCTCAACGAGTAAATGACATGTTCCCGCCCAAAGGTTCACGAAATGGTAAGTTCTCGTCATTCGCTTCATGAATTTTAGATTTCCACTTTTAAATTAATAGAAAATCATTTAATGTAAAGGTGAAAAGGTAAAGTGGTCATTTCAGATTTTCACTTTTAAATTAATATAAAAACATTTAATGCAAAGGTGAAAAGGTAAATTATTCATTTGTACGGTACTAAATTTGAAATAAAAATAAAAATTTCAATATAACTCTTCACATCTCAAATTTCTCTCACAATCACCCTCTCTCTAAAACTATTTCTCTTATGTCGCTTCTCTCTACCTCCCTCAACCACAGCCTCTCATTTCTCTCCCTAACAAGCAGCCACACTCCTCTCTCCCTCTCTAACCCACAGTCGCCAACCCTCTCACAATCACCAGCCACTATGGCCTAGTCGGCTCCTGTAACTCCTCAATCTCATGGTGAGCCGTGACAACACGAAGCGCGCGCATGGGTGTGCTTGCCTACACGCATGAGTGAGTCCGTTGGGCATGCGCGCGGTGTGTTGGGTGTTGGGCGCGCACGTAGTGTGTTGTGTTTTGGCTGGAGAGGGTTGGGTGAGGTATTTCTTTGAACAAGTGGTGGGTGTGTTCTGGAGAGGAGAGGTTCTGTTGATGGGGGTTTTTCGGTGACCAGTGTTCACACAACAATCACAATAATACACAACAATCACAATAATACACAACAACACAACCAAAGGTGAAGGAGGATGGGGGTTTTCAAGTAGATTGGGGTCACAAAACACGATTGTCGTGTGGCGACGGGCGCAATTCGCGAACGGCAAAAGGTGACTGGGGATAATCGATGAGGTAATGGGTTTTGATGAGGAAAGGATGTGGGTTCAAGGGGTTGTGACAAGGGTGGTTTCTGATGCCAAAATTGACCAGAATTAGGCCAAAAAGATGGGAAAACGCACGAAGGAGTAGTTGGATTCTCGAATTGTTTTAGTTTTTGGATCTAGGGTGTTTTGATTTCAAAGTATGAAGTTTCAATCTAGGTTTGATGTTGGTCATGGCGGCTTCGGTGATAGTTGATAGAGTTTCTGACGGTAATGGTGATGGTAATGGCATTGGCTGGGCGGTTGGAGACCAGAATGATGTGAAGGTTAAAGAAGAGGATGTTATTGAAATAAATCTAAAAGTAAGATGGTTATTTTTAATTCTATTAATTTGGGGGTTATAAAGTAATTTATTAATTCATTTATCAAGGGCAGTATGATAATAACATCTACGCTTGTGTCAAAACCTAAAAATCGTCATAGTATTAATTTAAGGGTGAGAATCTAAAATTTATAAAAACAATGAAAACTTGCCTTTTCACCAAACCCTAAGTGAGAATATGTTGTCTACTCTTACTCACCGATAAAACTACGCTTCACTATCACTTATGTTCCCACTTCTCACATGCAACATTTTTTGGGTATGTGTAATTATAAATATTTATTTACTGTGATCCTGCCGATAATGAAGTCTTGTTTTTAAGCAAAATCAATGATCACAACAGAAATCTACCAGGTGAACATATAAATCATCAACTTTGATAAGCGAAATCCATTGATCACTAATGATGTACAAATCCAGAGACTGGTTCAAGAAAAGCATGATTGAGTTCAAGCTAATACTAGATACAAGGCTTGAAATTAAAAACAATGTCTGAGAAATTTGTTCTTGTATACCGATGCCAGCATCATGAGCCAAGGACAATTTGTTCAAAGCTTAGCCAGCAATCCATCCCTTACAGGTTTTGCAACTCCGCTGTCTTTGCCATCGTTGTCTTTGGAATCCAATTCACAGGCACTTGGTGGTACATCTACTGCAGGAGAGCAATTAAAAAATCCATGCGGCTGCACATACGCATATCAACAGCATTAGTTTACAACAACTCTGTCATTTTAGATTTACAATGCCAAGTTCAATTAAAACCTGCTCATAAGAACACTAGATATCCATTAGCAACCGGTTAAACAAATACAAATAGAGCATGGATCCATTGAATACATTAGAAAGCATCAGACTTTATCTCATTATGTGGAGCAATCATATTCATATTTATACTATCACAGAGGTCTAATCAAGGGTATTGCTGAAAAAGATGAACTATAACTAGGTAATTACCATCAGCATGAAACCAATATGCTCCACTGGCATAACAGGCCAATCTTCCAGCCGAGGAATATGTGTGACTCCAAATACATACCTGTTATAAAACCAATCAATTATTAACATGCAGGCAAAACAGCAATCGAGCAAACACATAAACTTAAATAAAACAATGCAAAGAAGAAAGTAAACATACTTCTTCAAAAACTTAGGTCCTTCAAACAATAACCCAACCACTATTGTGTTCTAACGAAAATTTCTGACATGGATAAAGTTTGTGCCACCATGCTTATGATATTCCAAGAAGTAGCAAGGGAGATTTAATTTTCAAATGATATGTCCATATGTTACATAGAATATAGCTGTTTGTATGATAAATTCAAAAAAGAAACGAGAGAAGATATATTCAACGAACCAGAGAACTACATCAGCTTCTTCTAGCGGTCGATTCTGCTCCACCCATGCAGGCAATCCTTCACCAATACGTGGATTTTGATTAGGAAACTCTCCTCCTGGAAACATTTCGCCTCGCGCATATGGGGTAACCCAGAGATTATGCTTCAGAAAAGCAGCTCTTCTAAAAAGAGTGGCATCAGGACCAGCTAATGGCAAACAATTTGAACCAGGTACCAGCTTATACCCAGTTAGCTGACCAGTCCTATTTACAGTTCTTGTATTCCTCACCTAGAGTACAATATAAAATGCAGTCAGTCAATACTCTAATTAGATAATTGCAAAATGGTTATGGAAAAGCAAGATACAAGTACAAGATACAAGTAACCTTAAGTCATCATAGTTTCAAAAATTAAGATACAGCTCATAATCTTCCATCAACATGCTATACAAAGCAATGGCCAAAAATTGTAAAAGTAACAGAAACGGGACACAATTCAGAATATAATACTAATAATAAATAAATAATGGAAGAAGCAGAAGCAATCCAATAAGTACATGATGCAAACACAAACAAGATTTGTTTCCAGACACCTTATTTTATGCAGTATTCAACATTTCTCATGTAGACAACATAGAAAACTATCTGGGTGACTAATACAGGATGGAATTTTAAACATGGTAAAAAAGTAATCAATTGTGAGATTACTTTAACACCCAGAATCAATAAGCAGAAAAACTTTACAATGCGGATAGAAATGCCTTACAATCCAGTGCCGAGCAGTCAGGGGACTACAATCACGCATTGCTTGCTTTTCAGATCTAAGCAGAGTCTCTTCAGCATAGAATGCATTATTGTGAACATTACTGCCCCCAGGTTCCTCAACTTTAACATTCACCTCAACAACCTAAAATCAGTGGAAAATTAACATGTAAGACCCGGTATTATAATGTACTGAAAAGCGTAAACAACATAGTCCTATGGACAAGAATACACAAACACATACAAACATATACAAGCATGCATGTATTTATATATATTCGATGGTACATCGATGTCTTCAAAAAGGACAAGTGGTAGTCACAGAATAAACCACTATGGTAATATAAAGAACTGAGAAGATATCATGTGAATTTAAGTTCCTGACAGGAACACATTTGGCGGTTTAGATGAGAAGCCACATTGACCACAGCATCTAAATATGTGTTATTTGGATTCTCATCTCTTTTTTGCATAAGGGTCAATCTGCAAGTGGATTGACATGTTAATTCCAATCGTAGACGCAGGTTCCACCAATAATTCACTAACAAATATATAAAACACAGCAATATGGAACCAGAAATGAAAACTGAATTTCAAAGTGGTTTACCTGATTCAAAGCTTCACCGGGTTTACAGTCAATAGCCATGTCCATACGGGCCACAAAGAAGTGCTGATGAACTGGAGCATACAAACCTGGTGCAATCATTGTACCATATTTTCGGGATTCTCCAGGTTGCAATGCCCCTAAGCTAAGAATTCCGGTAAGTTTGACTTCAGCTTCAATTTTTCCATCCTGTAACAACATATAACCAATATTATCAACTCAATCTTTCCAAGAAGCATGCATAATATCAACTGACATGGGTATAACAACAAGATTGGCAGCAAGTTTAGCAGTAAAAGAGGGTGAAAAATAAATGAAAAGAGATGCAAGAAGCTCAATAAAAGGGGACCGGGCAAATAAACAGATCTCATATGCAAGGAGAGTGACTTTCAGCTTGCCTGATAAAAGTGCCAGTAGAATCCATACTCATAGTTAGCCACAGTACATATAAATGACACTGTCAGCCGTCTAGACCTTCGAACTTCTGCCAAGCCAGTTCTCCAATCTTGATGCTTCCATAGAATCCCATGATCCTCTTCATGCAAACATACACAATTTTCAATTGTTTCAACACCTCCTGTATAATTTGTAAAGTGGGCATCAAAGTATTTGATGTGGCCCAAACAATCACATCCCTGTAAAAGGACATTTTTAGCACCACTTTGGAACGAAGATGTCAAAAACTACAAAATACACTAACTAGAAAACGATCTACATACCCTTTTAAGAGAATGTGCATTTTTCCCAAGGCCATCTTCCCCCGCATCGAATGCATTTTTTCTGTAGTGTGGTTCATTGGGATCTCCATAAGGCACAACCATCTCAACAAAACTCAACCTATGGGCAACGGATCTTCGACCCCGGCTACCATCAATGTATGCAACAGAATGTATAACCAAACCCTCCCTAGGAGTGAAACCGATGCGGAAATTCCACTACCAAAAAAAAAAAAAAAAAAAAAAAAAAAAAAAAATGCTTACGATATAGTAAAGCACATTAAGAAAACAGTTTAATGAAACCAAGATCTACCTTCTGCCATTGTACAAAATTCCCATGAACACGGAAGCTTGGACCTTCAGGTTGAACAATTCGTAAAGGCTTTACATCACTACGATCAACGCCACCTCTTGTTTCACCACGGGTATAGTTCCTCAATGGATCAGCTGGAGGCAGCGGAACAAGTTTACGGTCTTCAAATTCAATCAAAACCATATTTTGCATATCAACAAGTACATAGATGCCTTCAACTGGGCGAGCATAACCATTCTCCATTGGGCAATCACTCTCAGTTCTACAGAATATAAGAGGTTTAGCGAGTCTTCTGTTAGGGGCATCAGCATCACTGAAATACCCAACACACCTGTGGAAAGTGTAAAACATGTTATAAATAAAACAGGATTGTTCAATAAAGCAACTAACTAACAAAACTGCTGGGGAATAAATCTAACTAACCAGGCATCAACCATTACAAGATCCATGTCTTCAATACCCCTTCTCTTCATTGCTTCCTTAAATGGAGGAAAGGCTTTCACAACAGCTTCACATTGAGCATATTCCTCGGCATCCTGATGAGTTGAACAAAAGAAATCAAGCATAATTGTTTTAACAAATATGACTATTATTCCCACAACCATCCCCCAAACACCACCCAGAAAATAAAAGACAAAAAAGCTATCTGCCCAGTTTGGTAAAAGCAATTCATTAACAGCCATAACCTGAAATTACAGACGGCCTTATTGCATGCCATATGAACCAAACTCAATCTAGATTTTTCCAGGTTTGACAACCTACTTTTTATTACTGAGACCAAGATTTGTTATAAGGAAACAAAGAATGAAAAGAGTAAGAATTAAGGTTTTTAAAACTGTAACCAATTAGTATAAATGAGGGTGAACAATTCAACCAACTAATTTATAATGTCCGTGAGGTTAACCGGAAGGAAATATGATCCAAGCAGTAGCTCCTAATCATGCTACTAAACAACCTAAAAACCTGACCCCACATTTCAAACAGTAGACTTCCTCTCAAGGACATAATTTATGAACAAAGTCAAAATATTATCATAGAAATTACATTTTCCAGAAAATTTGATTCCTTCAATCCAATTAGAAAATGTCTAGTACTAGTCACACAAAACTTACATGAATAATCTTCTGAAAATTATATAGAATGTACAATTTTGATATCTTTACCCTGTGATTATTTTAAACAACAGAAAGTCCAGTTTGAAAGAAGATAATTCAGAACTGAAATCTTCAGGAAAACTTAACGCCATAAGTTTGGACATAAGAGTCAAATCAAGATCAAATTACTTGAAGAAGGACATACCATTGAAGGCTGAACATCTGGAATAACATGCGATGATACAACTTTTCCCCTATGATGTCCACCTCGAGTGAGTGCATGTACTTGTGATAACTCAACAACCCATACACTTGTCTCATTTAACTTTTTGTTGTATACAACAAGTCTAGCTCGCCTAGGAGGGAGCTTGCTGGGAATTAGAGGACCGCCTTTGGTTCTAGGAAGCAGTGATGGTTGGAATGGGGGGAAGAAATAGGCATCTGCTAATGCAACAACATGTTTATCAGGTTCCAAGAGAACCACTTCAAAAAAACGCATGCTATCTCTGACCTGCAATGAAAAGTAGTTGTTAGCTCCTCATTTCAATAGTAAAATCAACAACAAACTGCTAAAAGAACCGATCAAATGAACTTCTTGTTACAGAAGCAAATCTTCTAAAAGAGTATTAACCTCTGGAGTGGCTCCAGCAGCCCTGACAGTGGCCACTGCAACAAAAATTTCAGCCGGAGTCAAAGGGTCCAAAGGATGGCTGGTTTGAGGCCTAGGCATGACTGATATTCCTGCATATGCAAAGTGACAAACTTAATCAATCAAGAGGTATAAGTGAACAAACTATGCGAGAGAATATTTATCTGCATCCCAATTCGACAAATTCCTATGCAAATGCAAGTAAATTCACCATCCATTCTGAGGGGGAAAAAGAAAGTGCGCATAAAAATACTGACCTCAACTAACATATGCAATTATCAATCAAGTAGACATGCCAATAATATATACGGTATTCTTTTCCTTTATTAATTTAAACATAATAAAAGAACAAAGTTTTACCTCATCGAATACGGAAGGGTCAAACCATTTCTAATTTTATTTTTAAAACTTATCATTTCAAGAAACCAATTTTATAATACAGGAATTGATTTTGATACGAGATAAATAATCAAACTAAAAGAATATTCTAGCACCACATAAGGAATAAATACACGTAAAAACATGAGAACACAATCCAACATACAGATAACGAGTGACAAAAGAAATCTCACATCAAGATCATCCAAAAGAATGATCAAAACAAACATTATAACAAATAAAACACAGACAAGAAACGAGAAAGAATGTACCTTTAGAAGAAAGGTTTGCGGGAGGTTCAGAAACAGAATCAACAGGGAGAATCAGAGAAGCGATGGAAGCGTTGTTTGGAGGTTGATCACTGGAGGCAACAGTCCAATCTTGCACCAGAGAAACAGAGGCGGCAGCCTCTCGAGGGAGGGAAGAAGAAAGCGTCGTCTTTTGCGCAGTTGAGGCCATTGCAAAGGGTTAGCAAGCTCACTAAATCCACCGTAGTAACTCTCTTTAAAATCTTTTGACATACAGCCAGCAAATTCCCTTCTTTGCTCTCCTCTCAACAATCTCTCCAAAACACAAGTTTCTTTNACAACCTAAAAACCTGACCCCACATTTCAAACAGTAGACTTCCTCGCAAGGACATAATTTATGAACAAAGTCAAAATATTATCATAGAAATTACATTTTCCAGAAAATTTGATTCCTTCAATCCAATTAGAAAATGTCTAGTACTAGTCACACAAAACTTACATGAATAATCTTCTGAAAATTATATAGAATGTACAATTTTGATATCTTTACCCTGTGATTATTTAAAGCAACAGAAAGTCCAGTTTGAAAGACGATAATTCAGAACTGAAATCTTCAGGAAAACTTAACGCCATAAGTTTAGACATAAGAGTCAAATCAAGATCAAATTACTTGAAGAAGGACATACCATTGAAGGCTGAACATCTGGAATAACATGCGATGATACAACTTTTCCCCTATGATGTCCACCTCGAGTGAGTGCATGTACTTGTGATAACTCAACAACCCATACACTTGTCTCATTTAACTTTTTGTTGTATACAACAAGTCTAGCTCGCCTAGGAGGGAGCTTGCTGGGAATTAGAGGACCGCCTTTGGTTCTAGGAAGCAGTGATGGTTGGAATGGGGGGAAGAAATAGGCATCTGCTAATGCAACAACATGTTTATCAGGTTCCAAGAGAACCACTTCAAAAAAACGCATGCTATCTCTGACCTGCAATGAAAAGTAGTTGTTAGCTCCTCATTTCAATAGTAAAATCAACAACAAACTGCTAAAAGAACCGATCAAATGAACTTCTTGTTACAGAAGCAAATCTTCTAAAAGAGTATTAACCTCTGGAGTGGCTCCAGCAGCCCTGACAGTGGCCACTGCAACAAAAATTTCAGCCGGAGTCAAAGGGTCCAAAGGATGGCTGGTTTGAGGCCTAGGCATGACTGATATTCCTGCATATGCAAAGTGACAAACTTAATCAATCAAGAGGTATAAGTGAACAAACTATGCGAGAGAATATTTATCTGCATCCCAATTCGACAAATTCCTATGCAAATGCAAGTAAATTCACCATCCATTCTGAGGGGGAAAAAGAAAGTGCGCATAAAAATACTGACCTCAACTAACATATGCAATTATCAATCAAGTAGACATGCCAATAATATATACGGTATTCTTTTCCTTTATTAATTTAAACATAATAAAAGAACAAAGTTTTACCTCATCGAATACGGAAGGGTCAAACCATTTCTAATTTTATTTTTAAAACTTATCATTTCAAGAAACCAATTTTATAATACAGGAATTGATTTTGATACGAGATAAATAATCAAACTAAAAGAATATTCTAGCACCACATAAGGAATAAATACACGTAAAAACATGAGAACACAATCCAACATACAGATAAAGAGTGACAAAAGAAATCTCACATCAAGATCATCCAAAAGAATGATCAAAACAAACATTATAACAAATAAAACACAGACAAGAAACGAGAAAGAATGTACCTTTAGAAGAAAGGTTTGCGGGAGGTTCAGAAACAGAATCAACAGGGAGAATCAGAGAAGCGATGGAAGCGTTGTTTGGAGGTTGATCACTGGAGGCAACAGTCCAATCTTGCCCCAGAGAAACAGAGGCGGCAGCCTCTCGAGGGAGGGAAGAAGAAAGCGTCGTCTTTTGCGCAGTTGAGGCCATTGCAAAGGGTTAGCAAGCTCACTAAATCCACCGTAGTAACTCTCTTTAAAATCTTTTGACATACAGCCAGCAAATTCCCTTCTTTGCTCTCCTCTCAACAATCTCTCCAAAACACAAGTTTCTTTCTTTCTTTCTTTCTTTATTTCTTTCTCTCCAAGAAACAAACAAACAAACCAACAAACTACAACAGCAATAGAGAGAGAAAGAATGTGAAGAGAGTGATTCAAGGAGACTGAGAGAGAGAGAAAGCTCTAATGTGCTAATTTGCAGAGTTTAGGGTCATATATACTGGGAAAGTGCAGCAAGCCACGTTCAAATTGACAACTTGTAATATTTTACTTTTTTCATTTTTTCATTTTTTTTCTTTTTTCTTTTTTTTAAGGGGATAAGTCAAGACTTGGATTTATTACCTTTTATTTTTATAAAAATAATTATATTTTATTTTATTTATTTATAAAACTGTGGGCTTATCAAAGTTACTAGTAATAAGATAAGTGGTTGGAGGTGATAGGGCGATCTGCATCTGCTACTGGTGAAAGCACCAAAATGTTAAGTATTTTTATTTTTTTCTGATAAGGCCTAAAAATATCTCAACATTTATTACAAGGACTTGTAGGAATATGATGTAACAAACATCACCCCAGTTTTTGCACATTTCCTGCTTAAATCAAATCAACAATGACCCACAACCGATTACTCCTTTTTGTTATTTAGTGAAATTAATTACCACTACTTTCATACGACAATACAAGTGAAAGAAACAAAACCCAGGTGCTATTTCAGGGAGGTACATCTGATCTTACAATTAAATTAACATTTTAATTCTATTATTTCTACCCACCACCGACCTGCATTCATAGCTATTTTGAGTTTTTGGGTTTAAATTTTAAAGTCACTTATCACAATAATATTATAGTTTACTTGATCAATTAAGTTTATAGGGTATTTAATAGACTCTAAAAATTAGTTAAAATATATGTAAACTAGATCGGACACCCCAATTATAATAATAATAAGAGAGAGGACAAGTTTTGATGATGAAGAGGAAGATTGCAGTAGGTGATTTTGATAAGTTATCAAAGGATATGCAAGGCAAGGACATTATCAATGGCGTCAAATAGGTATGATTAATTAAGAGTTAAGTTGGGTTTTTAAAGATAATAATTTCAAAGTTAATGACAGTCTTAATTCCCGTATGGGCCGTATCAGATTTGGATGTACGTGCAAGTCATTCTCAAATGTGGAACCAATTAGACACCCACTTGAAAATGATGCATTTTTGTTTTTTTTTAATCAAAGCTGACTCATCTTTCTCTACCTACCTCCACAATCCTGTATTAATAAGTTTTTATAATTAAAATATACCCAATATTTATACTTTCATTTATAAAGTTTAGCAAAGAAATGGGATGAGAAGGGAGGGAGACTCATTGTCATTGTGAGAATTGAAAATGCACGGTGGCCACATACTGATAACCAATATGAAATATAGATAAGAAAAAGTTAAGTCTCTTATTTATAATCGACCCTACCACTATACTAAAGGAAAAATCAATCACAATCAATCATCATGTCAACTTTTAAACAAAAACCATTCTCAAACAAAAGGAAAAGAAAATCTATCTAAAGCTTAGACAAAGCTATCACAACTTTTTTTATGTTGTTTTAAAGTAATTTATCCTTAAGTCACAAAACACTCTATAAATCTAATAATTAAGGCAATTATACAAATATGATAGATACATATCCTACGATCAAACATAAAACCTCTTGAAATATACTAATCATAGTGGAAGATTTATGGTGTCACTGACATTATTATTATTATTATTATTATTTTATATGGTTTGATTTTTGGGCGATCAAAGAAACAATAAGCCATTTTTTTTTTTTTGTTATGTAGCCAACCTTAAATTTTGACGATTAGTTGAATTTTAGCGTATATATGACATATATAGCCTCTAGTTTCGGGTCCTTCCATTTTGGGCGGTACCCGAAAAGCCAACCGTTATATGTTTTGTATAAGGCATTGTGGGTGAAGGTTGGTTTCACTTGTCATTAATCGCTTATAGAAGCCCATAATTTGAAGTGATGAGTAATAAATGACGAATTGAAATAATTAAGATAGCTCCACTTCTAGGATACCTTACTAGAATTGGGTTCACCTAAGTATTAGGCAACTTACAAGTTTGTTTTTTTTTTTTTTTTTTTTTTTTTTTAACTTGGGGTACCCTTATTAGCAATAAAAGGGAATCGAACTTATGACTTTTTGAGTAATATATTTAAAAATTGTTATCATATCACTCAGTCATCCAAGGGTGATTGATAATATATCTAAGAGTTTTTATTACACCACTCACCTATGGTGGTTTGTAATACACTTAAGAGTCTCTATCACACCACTCAATCACCCAAGGGTGATTTTTATAAGTTATTTTGGTTTTGGGTATAAATTTATTAAGTTGGGTTTCTTGATAAAAATAAAATGAAATTGCCATAGTTGTCCTACAAATAGTGGGTGGCTTAGCTAGATGTCATATTTTACCTTTAATAATAATTATAATTTGCAAAATTGTACAAACCATGTTCATCCTTTATGTAAGTGGACTATATTCTAAGCATACTATAAGTCTGGACAATTTATGTGAATATAATAATTAAACGTTGCTATCAAACACGGTGAATTTATTTTGTGCCAGTCATTTGGTTCAACGCATTGACCAGACCAGACCCCTTATTTACGGATTGGGCCATGTCAAATAAAGTGTATTTTTCACTACTTTTGTGTGTGTGCGCTGTACAATATACTTCCATTAATTTGACCCTAAGTAAACATGAAGAAAAGCTAAAAAGTAAAAGTCAAAAAAATTATCTTTTCTCTTTTGGATGGGTTTAATATGTAATATTTTTTAAATTTAGCATATAATGATGTTTGGTTGGTTTGTAAAAAAATATTAAAACTTACATAAGGTAATCTAATTTTGTGGTCGTGGCTGAAAACGGCCTTATCGGCACACGATCGGCTAAATCCAATCGATCATGTGTCATTACGATAACTGCCACCATCAGCCGACGGTAGTCTTGAGTGGTTGGGGGTATTTTGTTAACTTTTAAACTTTTTTGTGGCTAAGGTGTTTTAGCTAAATTTTCAAATATGGGAGGTTGGGCTAATGATTATTTGGTAGACATTTGAGAACAATTGTGTCTGAAATGGTATTTAATTAAAGGCAAAATATGTATAAAAATCATATTACTTTGGTAATCTTTTAATAACACCTCCCTGTGGGGTATCTAATTAGCCCCTGTAATATTTTATTACTTACAAAGCAAACAATAGAATCTTGCAAAATAAACAGAGATTACTCCCGTTATCTTATATGACCCCGAGCCAAACAAACCCTGATTGTTATTTAGGGTGCGGTTGATTCTAAAAATATTGTATTATTAGGAATGTTATATTAATAGAAAGACGAAGCCATGTTATGATGACTGGGGTTGGTGACCCCACTCAAAAATTATTTTTCGTTAGTGTAGTTTGATATTTTGCTTTTAACTCTCTTGTATTAATTTTTCTTGATTTGACCCCCTCGTTTATTTTTTCCCTCTTATATTTTTATTACATTATTTTTAACTTATCCCCTCTAAAATTCATTCTTGGGTCCGACCTTAGTAAAGATTTTGGAAGTAATAATATATAATAAAATATAAAAGGGGTATGTATGTTAAAAGATGCACGTATTGGCTAGTTTGGTTTAGGGTTGAGAAAAGAAGTATGTTAATGATATGGGAAAACAAGTATTAAGTCAACCTGGGACTAAGCATGCTTAACACATGATTATCGGATAACAAGTAGTATCAATTCAACCTTATGATAACAATTAGGGTGCGTTTGGTTCATTATTCTGATACTTTTTAAAATAATATTTAAAAAAAATTAAAATTGGGTGGTTATTACGAGGTAGAATTTAAAAATTAACAAAAACACCCCCTATGTTTATTAATTTACTAAACACCCTTGTAATAAAACATTAAAAAAAAACAAAAACACCCCCACCTACCCATTAAATACTAGCAATCAGTCACTACCGTCGGAGGGTGGCCAGAATTGATGTATCGGCGCACGACGGGCTGGATTTGGTCGGCCGGTCGTGCGCCAATGTGACATTTTTCAGTCAGATCCACTGTAGATCTAGCCGAAAAAGATCAGATCTACGGCTAGATTTGACCATTGATGGTCAGATTTGGCTGCATTTGGTCGTCAACTACGGCCAAAGGCATGGTCATCGTTCATGGTCAACGATGGTCAAAGATCTGTCCATTAACGGCCAGATACTTGGTCATAGATCTGGCATTTTCCAGTCATATCCACGATGGATCTGGTCGAAAAAGGATAGATTAGCGCACTATCGGCTGGATCATACCAGATTTTGGCTACCTTCCGATGGTGGGGTCGAAGTCTGGCAAATGTGGGTTGGTGGAGGTGTTTTGTCTATTTCTAAACTTTTTTTTTTTTTTTAGTTAAATTAACAAACTTAGGGGTTTAAAAAAATTGATAAAAATAGAATAGTATTTTCAGAATAGGAAAACAAATGTGTATTTTAGATAGAGGAAAAATTGAGAAACAAACACACCCTTAATAATTCGACATAGGATTATGCATGCTAACTTATGATTTGTAAACTTTGATTGTGCTTTCAAAGAGAGAGAGACTTCAACACCCTTGGAGTTTTGGTCTATACTACAAGTCTACAACTGGTCAAGTTCTTGTCGTTTAAATCCCCACTAAACTTAGCAGGCGATTATGAATGATGGTTAAATTAGTGTTAGACTACACTTAAATGACAAAACTACCCCATTTTTGCTCTCATTCTTTATCAGCTTTTCTTTGCGGCCAAACAAGCAGTATACATAATTTTCCTAGAATCAACTAATTGATTTACACGCAACACATAATCACATGAAGCATGAAACCCATCAACTTTTGCAACAACCTCCACAGATTCAATGTAACACCACCGTAGGCCATAGCCATCTCCTCTCTCTATTTCCTTCTCTTTAAAAAGAAATTCGCTTTTTTTTTTCATTTAAAAAAATAATTAGTTTTATTTAAAATAAATAATAATTAAAATTTT